CTTTAATTTGTAATGGCACTCTGAAATTACAGTCAGCATCAGAATTCACATCTTCATAGTTACAGTCAACATCATAGTTTGGCTCACAAAACTGTTGTTTTGTAAAATCCACCAATTGCCTGTGCTCTTTGATAATACAGAAAAAAATCCCTATGAAAGTCTGGAAGATTTGTTTCATTTGTTTAATTTAATTTCAATTTATTTAAAAATACTTTCACTAAAAAATAACTGTCCCCATATCTTTTCTTAACATCAGCTCCTTGTTAAGCTTCTTGCTAAAAGTTCTTAAATCTTTAAGATCTTTTATCTTTATTGCTTTGTAATCCAAAAAAAATATAACTCACCAACTAGACTCTTATCCTGCTACTCTGAAAATCTCTTTCTCTTTATTTATTAGATTTTTATCCTGCCTTTATTACTTTAAAAATAATTCAAGGCAACAAACATATATCATACTTCTTTCTCCTCCTTTTTTCCCTACAACAACAATCCTTTGAAGTTTATTGGACTGAGAGACAGTAAGTAGTCCAAAGTTACCCTGCCACCTTTTTTTTAGTTGTAAATTAGTTATATCCAAAAGTGATTAAGAAATGAGATATGGCTGAACTTTTTGTTCATATAATTTACACTGTTGCTTGAGCTAGAGCAGGGGTTCCCAACCGGGGGTGCTTGCACCCCGTGGGGCACGAGACGATATTCCAGGGGGTGTGAAAACCTGGGTTTTCAAAATTATAATGTATATGCATAATTTGTTGCCGTTATTTCGAACTTTTGTAAGGGGTGCAAGCATATATCAGAAGTGTTCTAGGGGTGCGGGGTATAGAAAAGGTTGGGAGCCGCTGAGCTAGAGGAATCCCTCAATTCCCAGCTGCTTGACTCATGAGCTGACTGCAAAAACCTCCACTTCTGCAGTTTACTCATGAGGAGCAGCTGTCTGGAGTGCAACTCTGTAATTTCACAGTCTGTCTGGAGAAACATCATCAGGGTGGCCAGGACTCACCCTCTAGTCCCTGTTCTTCACCACAGTGTCATCTAGTTCACCATGATTCACACCAGAAGCTTCATATCATTCCAATTTCTAATCAACAAACAAAATTTATTTCGCAGAAAGAATTAGTACAGTTATAGTAGAACCGTGCTACTAATTTTATTTGACCTTTTTTCCCCAAGAAATTATGAAAGCAGGAAAGATTCCTGATAGTTCCAAAAAACTAACGTATTTAGCTATGTATTTAAGTAAATTTCTTTTCTCTTGAGAACTATGTTTGAGTCATTATATTCTGTGCAACATACTGTGCAGGATATATATTTTGTGTCTTGGAAGCAGCTATCATTTTTGTGAATGCTGGATCGCATTACAGCATACACATTTCCCCCAAATTTTGTAGTATGGATTGATAAATTTTATTTAATCCCATAAAGCGTGTGTTACTATCTTAAATGTTTGCCATGGTGAAAGTAAATGGTGCTGTCTTTCTCCTTTACTTTCTAATCTGCCTTTTGAACTTTTTGCTTGTGTCATGAGAAATTCTGAAAACATTAAAGAGATTAAACAAAGAGAAGTTCAATATAATCTGCTGTATGCAGATAATATAATTTATTTTCTATATGAGGCAAATTCATTTGTCATCTAATTTCACAAATATGTTGAGTTTGATATTCTGCTTGGTTACTTCATTATTTTTCTTCCATTTAATCATGTTCAATTGTGGAGACTGCCTGGGCAAATGCCTGCAGTTTTCTTGGCAAGGCTTTTCAAAACTGGTTTGTCATTGCCTCTTTCCTAGGCTGAAAGAAAGTGACCGGCCCAAGGCCACCCAGCTAGTTTTGTGCCTGAGGCAGGATTAGAACTCACAGTCTTCTGGTTTTTAGTTTGCTGCCTTAACTGCTACATCAAACTGGTTGTGGTTACTTCATAACTTGGAGCAAATCAGAGTTGATCTGGTTTAGTAAACAATGAGCTGTCCAAATTTACAGATAGTACTAAATTATGTGGGTGCTAAAATTAGATGAAATTTGACGCAAATAGCAAACGTACAGATTAAGAGGTGTAAAGTGAGCCACACTGGGACAGAGACACGTCATACCTCCAGTGATGGATTCTGAGTTGCCTATAAGTATACAGGAAATAGATCTTGGGGTCACAGTGAGAATTTAGTAAGAGTGTCAACTCAATGTGTGACAACTATGAAAAAAGCAATTTTTGTGCTAGGATCATTAAAGGTTTTGAAAATAAAACTGCCAGCATTGCAATGCCTTTATGCAAATTTATGATTTATCCACCTCTGGAATACTCTATCTTGTTTATTTACTAACTAGATTTATAGGGCTGCCCATCTCAAACAATGCAACTCTGGGCAGTGTACAACAAAATAAAATAAAATAAAATAAACAATAATAAAATAAACAATAACCTCTCCCAAAGCCCATCAGCCACATAATATTAAAACATACATAATGTACAATCTGTAGATCTATAATCTATAATACAAAATATAAAAATGTCAACCAAGCACTATAATAAAACAATCAAAAGGAGACCCCACTCAACTGCCCACTAATACCTGGGGAAACAGCCAAGTCTTAACAGCTTTTCTAAAGGGATTAGAGTTGAGGCCTGGGGTAGGGTAGTTCTTGAGAATAGAGCAACCACAGAAAAGCATGCTTCTTAGGTCCTATAAGATGACATGGTTTAAAAAAAGGAATCTGGAGTATACCCTCTTGGGATGGGTAGTTGTTTTGGGGACAAGGCAGTCCCTCAAGTAACCCAGTCCTTTGCTGTGTAGCATTATAAAAGTGATGACCAATACTTTAATCACACACAGAGGCCTACTGGGAGCCAGCACAGCAGCAGCATCACTCATAACTACGCTACTACTGCGTTTTAGATCAACTGGAGCTTCCAGATAGTGTTCAAGGGTAATCCTATGGAGAGTACATTGCAGTAGTTCAGTTGGGAGCTGTCTAAGGTATGATGACAATGAGCAGGGCCTCCATTCCAGGAACAGACATGTCTGGTGCCCAGGTTCTAGTTATGCAAAGGCCTCCCTGACCTCAAATGCTACCCCTACCCCCTCTTTGAGCAGGACCTACGAGTCAAGAGAACCCCCCAGATTTCACACCAAGTCTGAACAGGGTAGTGCCACCCGATTCAGTACCAAAAATGGAAATCCTCCAACTCCTTGATCTAGTGCACACAAAATCCATAACCATTCAGTCTTGTTGAGGTTGACCTACATCCTATTCTTCCCCATCTAAGACCCCAAAAGGAACATAATGGAGCTGGAAAAAGTGCAGAAGACTGCAGTTACAACAACCAAGGAATTCACATATATTCCTTATGAGAAAAAGTTAGAATATTTAGGATTCTGTTTTGGAAAAAAGCAAAGGAATAGATACATAAATGTATAAAATTATGTATGGCATGGAGAAAGTGAATAGAGAGACATTCCCCCCTCCCCCCCGCAAAACATTAGGACAAGGGAGTATAAGTGGAATTTGATTGGAAGGAGAACAGAAAAAGAAAGCACTTCTTCATTTAGCATGTAATTCATAGAATTCATTACTGCAAGACACGGTGATTACTACAATTTGATGGCTTTAAAAGACAAATGGATAAATTCATGGTGGACAGGTCTGTTAATGACTGTGACATTGACAATTATATATGTGAATTTTGGAATAACCAGCTTGATTATTATGTTGTCAGCCAAATAAAGTCCTGTTAAAGAACATTACATTTATTCCTTTGATCTTATAATGAACTTAATAAATATATTGCACATATTGCACATAGGAATTTTATCCCCAGGAAAGAATGTTCTAAAGAATATTAAGTTAATTCCTCCAGACTGTGGCATTCCATATCACTAGGATTTCAGCCATTTCATACCTTTGGAATTTGTTATTCCTGATATAAATATTATCTATATGTCTGTTGTACAACATTTAAAACATTTAACAAGTATTCAATTGCCTTATTTCTAAAGTAGTAGTTTAAAAAAATAACCTTTATGAATATTAAAAATCATATGGCTACATATATAGATGGCATAACAGCAAAAAAAGGATATTTCTGGTTATTTATTTATGAAAATCTTTTTGAGGTCTATATATTAATAATAATGATATTCCTATTTAACTACCAGACACTTTGGTTCTAGTGACTTTAGTTACAGAGAAACAACAGAAGAATTTCTTTTATGTTAGAACTTATGCTTCAAGCTCCTAAAATGCAGAAATGTAATTTAGTTTAAGAAATATAAAATTTAGGAAATACAAACTGCATGTAGAGGAAGTCTTAACAAAATTATTCAGAATACGAGATTGCCACTCTATTCAGCCTATATCTTAATCAAGAGTACAGACTCTCATTGAATGTTCCTTGATTGGTGGCAAGTATGGGAACTGAGGTATGTTTTCTTCAAACATTCAAAGCAAGTCTTTATCTAGAATGATTTGTTTTCAATGTTTTTCTGAACTATTCGTAAACTCACAAATCACAACAATTGCCTTTGTATGTTTTGCAATCTGTAATTTGTTTATAATAATCTTTGAATCTAAACAAAAAGACACAATCCCCTGTTAACTTTGATTTAAAATCTAGATTTAGTTTATAAAATGTCTTATCAGTCAATTTTGTACCCAGCGCAATTCTGTTATGCTCTAGGAGAATAACTGACTTTTTTTTACGTTTTGTGAAAACGTATGCGTACATATGTAAGACCTAGAACAGCATGATGCCGGTTAGCTTGCATTTGATATTCATGCTATTTAGCTTCAGTATTTGCAAAATTGTAGATATGTTATATAGCAGATATAGAAGAGCAAAAAGGATAGGATATACATTTGGCCATGGAAAACAACTTGCAAATAGGTATTAATTTCATACATAATTAAATAAGTAGCAATTCTACAATTTAAATTGGGTATTTAAGTATTGTGTTGAGGGCTTATCTCTTTACCATTCTGTGACTGAAAATCTTCTTTTGTTTTTATAGGAATCTACAGGCAGCCATTGGAGCATACTACGATTTTGAAAGTCCAAACATCAATGTGCCCTCCATGTCTTTTGTAGAAGATGTGACTATAGGAGAAGGAGAATCCATCCCTCCAGATACCCAGTTTACAAAAACGTGGAGGATACAAAACACAGGTGGTTTCTGAAAGCCTCTTCTCTATACAGTATTTGTGTTGATCTAGCTTTCTTATATATTTTTTTTCTAAGAATATAATGTTTTTGGCTGTTGGTTTTATATAATGTTTTGCTTGCTACTTCTGGGCACTTGAACCTATGTCTAAGTTAGTGCCATCTTTTCTCAAAAGAAAGGATGGGGGAAGGGATTGGCTAAATACTTCTTATTGAAGTTGGAGGAAGGTTTCATCTTATACTTGCAGATTTATTTATATTGTTATGTTGTGTTGTCTTATGCTGTGCTATACTGTACTATGTTACGTTCCTGTGGTTTTCTTGGCAAGATTTCCAAAATAGTTTGGCATTGCTTCCTGACCGGCCCAAGGTCAACCAATTGGTTTTTTTCCCCTAAGATGGTACTAGAACTCATACTCTCCCAATTTTTAGCTTGAGATCTTAGCACTACACTAAATTGGCTCTCAATATTTGCAGATAGGCAGATATAAACAGACCTCATATTGTTGAAAGGGAGAACATGCTTTGATTTATTGGGCTCTCTTTATCTTCGTTGGGAAATTTTGTGTAGCACAGATCACATTTTAAGTCATGTTTCTGCAGAAATATTGACAATTCAAATGGCACACAAGCTTCAGACATGCTTGAAAATGCACACTTAAATGTATACATAAATTTAACATCATGTTTATGGAATGGGTTTCCGTGGAGGAGTAAGGGACATCACATTATTATATTATGTAAATTGCATCATTGGCATAGTGATGTCATGAAACAAGACATCTGTGTGGATTCTAATTACGCCTGTGTTGAAGATCTTTAGCATTGCTTTCATCCTTGAATTTATATGTGTGGAAGATAGATATAAAAATTATGTGTTTTTTTTCTTACCATTATTCCTAATAGTCTTAAATTTAGAATGATCTTCCATTAGGGTAAATCTGGTATTGAATGGAGAATTCATTTTACTCTCCTCAGATTGCTTAGACTCACTATTACCAATCTGAGGAACCCTTTCAATATGGTAATTGTTGCTTCCTCACTGTTATTTTGACTTCCTGAAGCTTAGTTTCTCTTTGTTATCTGTATTGAAAGTAGTCATGATTTGGTAATGCAGTAGGAAACTATAGAGAATGAGCCCAAACATATACCATTATGTTGTACATGTGGCTTGGATTGCTAATGATTCAATATTCACACATTCTAATGTTTATTAATATCTACTTTGATCCTTTCATTCCCTTGATATTTATAATTTTTTCAATTACAAAAATATTTGGTACAGAATTTTTGCCTTCTTAAATTAAGTGTAGTTAAATATAGTTAATAGTTTTGGATTTTATTTTCCTGCTTTTTTAAAACTTTATAATGGAGAAAACTCTGAAAACAGTCATAAACGGCTTTAAAACATTAAGCTGGAATAGCCTACACAACATATAAAAAAAAACCTGGAGTTAACACTATGATGAAACTTTGGGAAGAGATTAAATGAGATGAGATGTACTAGCCTTTAGGGATATGATTATCTGAGAAAAATTAGATCTGATGCAAGAGAAATAACTTTGCTGACAGATATTGCAGTGACAGGATATAACTTGAACTGCTGAATCTATGTATCTATGGGCTTATTATATACATGAATAGTGTGGAAGACAATGATATTACAAAATATATTCAAGTTTAAATAAAGTACGTTATTCTTAAATGATATACAAAATTAACTTTATAGTAGCTGTTCTAAAATGAGAAACCCTCATGACTGGACCTGATTTTATAACCATTTTTATCATGATCGTTAAATGAATCACATGGTCATAAATGCGAATCCATTCTTCCAAATGGGTGGTTTTCTTTTTGAGCAAAAACTGCTGGAAATTCACAAAGAACATTGCAAATTGGGGTCATGTGACCATGGGATGCTGCAATCAGTTGTAAATGGGACTGGTTGCCAAATGTCTAAAATTCAGTCATGGGATTGGGGGGGGGGAGATGGTGTGACATTTTGCAACAATCAGAAGTGCTTAACTTTCTGAGGCAATCATAACTCCAAACTGTTGTTAAATGACTGATCATCAGTCAAGGACTATGTGTTTTCTCCAAACTATGTAAGTTTTGTTCTTTTGATATTTACATGTAAACTTAATAAATAAAAATGGCTTATAGGAAAACAGGTTCTAGGAAACCTAGGGAGGTAGTGTGTTTCTCTTCATTAAATATGTTTAAGAGAAGGTTGGACTGCCATCTGACAGATGGATTCTTTAAACTGAATTCCCGCGCTGAGCAAAAGATGGGTTGAATGGCCCAAACAAACCCTTGTATTGTAGATGTGCAGATTATTCAGGCAGTATTGAATGCTTCATGCACAGATCGAAGCACATACACTTCATGCTAGTTATAGATGGATAACTCATTTTGCAGGATTTTACTTAATATACATAGTTGAAAGTTCACATTGTTTTCCATCTCAGAAATTATAACTCAGAATTAGCCTTATTTTTGTGCCTAAATTATATTGCCAAAATAAGTTATTTGAAGATGTATTTTTCTACTAACCTAAAAAAGTTAGTATCTTGATATAGGATTCCTATATCTATCTTTTCTGTATTTTAAAATCTACCCTATTTATTTTGTATTATCAATAAGTTGAAGACCGTATGTTATTGAACCTGATGTTTATATATATTACGTATATTTTTACAGCTTTATCAAACTATTCTTAATTTCAGTTTAAGAAATATTTATTTTTAAGGTGATGAATGGGGTCAGATAGATATCATTTCAAGTTCAGTGGATGCTACTGCTGTGTTCTTTATTTGTGAGCTTGTCCCTTAAAAAGGATATTGAATAACAAGAATGTTGACCCAAAGTTTTTCAAACTTGGCCATTACATTAAGTACTGTATGCTACTTTTAATTAACTGATTAAATGTAATTAATTTTAGTTGTGCACTTTTCATGTCAAAGAAGCCTTGTTTCTCGTATCAGCAGTATTCTTTCCTTTTCAATATATTGGTATGTTTTTATTCAGTTTATAATAAGAATGGGGATCAATTTTGTGTCAGATAGAGGTGCAATAGAACTGTGCAAAATGATCTGTCTTTTATCTGGCAGTTATTAATCTTTCCTTGATTATATAATGAAACAGTGCACGCAATGGGAAATGTATAATCAGATGCTTATAATATTTTTCATGATTGTAACGAATAACAAATACTTTAATGCTACATTTGCTAAACTTAGGGACAGAAGCATGGCCACCAGGAGTTTGTCTCAAGTATGTTGGGGGAGATCAGTTTGGCCATGTGAACATGGTGATGGTCCAATCGTTGGAACCCCAGGAGATTACAGATGTCAGCGTTCAGATGTGCAGTCCCAGTACTGCAGGAATGTATCAAGGACAGTGGCGGATGTGCACTGCTACAGGACTTTATTATGGAGGTAAGTACTACTTTCTCATTTATGATTTTTATAAGCAGAGTTTGAAGAAGTATTAGTGCTGCTAAGACTGTTCTGGTTTATGTCAAACTAATATTTCTTATTTGCTACAGTCATGTTTAGTAAGAGATTGACATGTCAAAGTTAACATCCTTTTTTAAACATATTCTGTCCTACTAAAATGGTCTACTTTTACTATGAAAATACAAGTAGCAACTACAGTTGGGATGTTGAGTGAAGCAATCATTAAGCAAAACACCCACATACTCACTTTGCTCAACAACTGCAATCCCACATCTCCCAGTTGTGGTCATCAAGTAACTGGATGGGATATTAAGTGAATGGAGCAAAAGAATTTCCTCCTGAAGGAGGGCAGGCAGTTCCCCTTCATGTGCAGAAGGTACAGGAACAGAGCTCAGATGGTTTTATAATATGTTTTAATTGTTTGTTTTATTGTACACAATCTAGTGTCACCTTGTATAAGATGGGTGGCCCTATAAATTTGAAAAATAGAACCTATTAAAATGAATGAAGAAAGCAGCTTGAAGTGGGTAACAATTTAAGAGGAAATGTTTACAGAATTACATTCTACATGAACTGTTTTGTTTTGTTTTTTGGCAAAAGTGACACCAATAGGTATTCTGCGTACAATACTGTTTTCTTTAAGAGATTGTGATACTCCCTTCAAAGATAATCCACTGATTCTCTTTTGGCAACTGCTTTTCCAACAATAGGGAAAATATATGATTTTTACAATAAAAGTATCCCCCCCATGGAAATGCTGTTGTTTTGGAGAAAGCTTTATTTCCTATTAAGTCATTGTTTCCTTTAAATATCTATTGAATAATTATTTGGTGTAACCCCTAAAATTAACATATTTCTTCCTTATTAGATTTATATCCTGCCTATTATACATGCCCCTTGTCTTCCTATTTTTTGCCATTATTTTCTCCCATACCAGCTTGTGAGATAGGATGGCTTGAGAGTGTATGCTTGATCCAAACCTACCACTTTGTTTGCTAAAAGTGCACTGGAGTTTGCATATCCCTAGTGCAGTACATCTTAAGCATTACAATATATTAGCTCCCTTTTGTTGTTGTTAATTGCGAAGTCGTGTCCGACCCATCGCGACCCCATGGACAACGTTCCTCCAGGTCTTCCTGTCCTCTACCATCTTCTGGAGTCCATTTAAGTTCACGCCTACTGCTTCAGTGACTCCATCCAGCCACCTCATTCTCTGTCGTCCTCTTCTTTTATTGCCCTCAATCTTTCCCAGCATTAGGCCCTTCTCCAGTGAGTCCTTCCTTCTCATTAGATGGCCAAAGTATTTGAGTTTCAACTTCAGGATCTGGCCTTCTAAAGAGCAGTCGGGGTTGATCTCTTCTAGGACTGATCGGTTTGAACACCTTGCAATCCAAGGGACTCGCAGGAGTCTTCTCCAGCACCATAGTTCAAAGACCTCAATTCTTTGTTGCTCAGCCTTTCTTATGGTCCAACTTTCACATCCATACATTGCAACTGGGAAAACCATGGCCTTGACTATACGCACTTTTGTTGGCAGGGTAATGTCTCTCCTTTTTAGTATGCTCTCTAGATTTGCCATAGCTTTCCTCCCCAGGAGCAAGCGTCTTTTAATTTCTTGGCTGCAGTCCCCATCTGAGGTGATCTTGGAGCCCAGGAAAATAAAATCTGTCACTACCTCCATTTCTTCCCCATCTATTTGCCAGGAATTGAGAGGGCCGGATGCCATGATTTTGGTTTTCTTAATGTTGAGTTTCAAGCCAACTTTTGCACTCTCCTTCTTCACCCGCATCAAGAGGCTCTTTAGTTCCTCTAGCTCCCTTTATGTACATATAAATTTGCAGAACAAAAACAAGTATTCGTTGAGTCCTAGATAACTTTGTGATAATAGTTCATCCTGCAGCAATATGAATACTCCTAACAGAATTTCTGAAAATTGTAAGGAAAGAAATAAAACATACATGTAGTTCCTTGACTATATTCAGATCTGTTTTGGAGTCTTAATTAATTCTTTGTGGATGTTGAAAGTCTCAGTAAGAGGGATTTGATGCATATGGCATCTCTCTTAATATTTCACCTTTTAGAATAATTTTTTTATGTTGAATTGTTTCTAATTCTTGGAGACTGCCTAGACATGTCTGCAGTTTTTTTGACAAGGTTTTTCAGAAATTTTGGTTTGCGGTTGCCTCTTTCCTAAGGCTGAGAGAAAGTGATTAGCCCAAGATCACACAGCTGGCTTTATGCCTAAGAACTCAGTGTCTCCCTGTTTTTAGTCTGATGCCTTAATCCAGAGGTGTCAAACTGCTGGCCCGCGGGCCTGATGCGTCATGCCGAAACCACGCCCACCCCAGCTCCAGCAATGGGGAAAAAGTCGCGATACATCGCGACATGTCACGTCATGTTGCAAGTTTGACACCCCTGCCTTAGTCAGTCCATCAAACTGGCTGTCAGTGTAATAAAGAATGATTTTTTCTGCAAAATATATATTTAAATTAATAATATGACACCATGTAATTTTTGTTTACTGTTATTAAAAATTACTAAATTGGCTTTTTACTAAATTGGCTTTTCTTTGGGAGGTTATTAATACACATAGCGCAGGCTAACCTTTGAAGAAAAAATATGGAAAACTCATGTAGAAGGAAATGAAGATATTTTGAAAACTACTGAGTTAAGAGCATTTCACACTGTTGTGTTCTTTTGCAAGCTCGATTCGTAAAACTGGCCTCTCATTTTATTTGTATTGCTTATTGATATAAAATTAATAATATTTGTTCCCAGATTTTGCTGTTCCAAATGAAATATGAGAACAGCATTATTAATAGATGTTACAATATGTGTATATTAGGACGGTACTTGAGTAAATATTATACTTACCAGTAGGTGTCAGTATATAACTTTCAAATCTCGCAATGTTAAAATTTTTTGTATCTTTTGTAATGGCTTCAGTATGTGGGGAATTGAGTCCTGATTGGTTTTCTTCAGGGAGACTGTACTTGCTCTTTTTATTGCATATGCTTAGTCATAAGCAACATGCTAACTTGAAAAAAAAATGAGATAAAGTGATACATAAGCTATAACATGTACTTATCCAAGATCTTTTTTCTTAGACATCATCTGGGTGATCCTTAGTGTGGAAGTTGGAGGACTTTTAGGAGTAACGCAGCAGCTATCATCCTTTGAAACAGAGTTCAACACGCAACCACATCGTAAGGTAGAAGGAAACTTTAACCCGTTCGCCTCTCCACAGAAGAACAGGCAACCAGATGAAAACAACTTAAAAGACCCTGGGGGTTCCGAGCTAGACACAATCAGCAAAAACACGTGGGGGCCTGCTCCTGACCAAATTGAACAAGATCAGACTGAACTGTCACAAAACTCTGTAAATCTCTCCCCCAGCAGTCACTCAAACAACTTATCAGTAGTGACATACAGTAAGGTAGGTGCCCTGGGGATACAAGAGATGGGAAGGCAATGAGTCAATGCCCTGTATTATGTCAGTCCTTCCTTCAGACAGCAGCTTCTCTTTGTTACATCCAGTTGTAATGGTGTACCGTTGTACTGAAACCTACTGTTCATATTGCAAGATCTTCTGAATTAAAAGACAGATTTAAACACGATTGTGTTAAAATGCTTTAAACTTTAAAAAATGGATAATGCATGCTGGATTTATCGGTGCAAAAACAAGAAAACTAATTTTTAAGATTGCTTAAAATTAAGAGATCTGTCAAATATTTAAAACAAAGTTTTGCAATTAAATTTGGAAAATAAGTGGTAAGCGGATGCTTAATGCTTTTATGACAAGAACATGATTATCTTTGATTTTTATTGAACTTTAATTTGTTATTTTATTTGTCATTTGCCAACTGTAACACACACACACCTCTAACTATATTGTCATATAGAAAGTTATAGAATTAATTGTTCATCCCACTGTAATATAGTCAACTTGCTTGTACTGAATCTGTCATAGTCTAGTCTGTTGTACACAGCTTATGTTTAAAATGAATCAAAACTTGGATAATTTACAGTCTTAGTGCTAAATACAGTATTTTTTAAAAAATTTATGCTCATTGATAGCTTGCAATGTTAAAAGGGAAGAAACTGTCAGAAAAGATCTTGATGACATAGTGATGAAAAGAGGGTGTGTGTGTGTAGGGTTTGGGGTTTGTTTGGGTTTTTTTTGCTTCAGCTCCACCTACCTCACCAATTAACATCTGATCCCTAGAGGAATGAAGCCCTTGACACCTCCCCACCCCCTCCTCTTCCCAATGTGACTCATCTCTGGCAGAAATGGGCTTAAGTCTAAGCCTATTCAATATGCCTTTTATGTTATTCTTGGCAGGGGGATAAATGTCTGTTGGATTAAGTTTGAAAATAGGATGAGCAAAAATGGTTGGCTTGCTTAAGAAAGAGGAAAGGAATTTAAAGATATATTGCAGTGGTCATGTGATGGGGAAAGTGTACCTTGGAATTATGACAAGAACAACATCATTGTGCATTGAATCAGTTTATCAAATAATTAACAAGAGGAAAGGCAAAAAATTCATTTTAGGCCTTATAGTGTCAGATAGATTTGGTGTGAGGAAAATATAAATTTCAGTGAAAACTTCCTAAGAAACTTTAGAACAGTTCAATTTACTTTTAAAGAGGAAGTTGCTTAATTCAGGGTTAAATAAAATGTCATGCTATTATTTGTGATTTATTTTAATTTCCTTTTTTCTCAAATGACTTATGGATTTTCAAACACTAGCTTCTGGCTATCTACCATCTTAATTTTCTACATTTTGCCTTTGGGTTTTATTTAAGATGCAGCTCCAGGTGGTAGAATTAATTTACTGGGATGTGTAAACAGAGTGCATTGAGAACATTTGGAGATGATCCTAGATTATATTTGGTTCAAGATGAAAATAATTCAGTTAAATATATAGATAAATAAGTGAATAGTGAGTTCAAGGATGTGGATTGTATATTTTAGAGTGCAGACACAACTATTGTTGTATATTCTGGATTCTTAAAGCTAAAAATACAGGTAGTTCTCGTCTTATGCCCACAATTGAGTCCAAAATTTCTGTTGTTAATCAAGACATATGTTAAGTGAGTTTTGCCCCATTTTACGACCTTTCTTGCCACAGTTATTTGAATCACTGCAGTTGTTAAGTTAGTAATAAGGTTGTTAAGTGAATGTGGTTTTCCCATTGACTTTGCTTGTCAGAAGATCTCAAAAGATGATCACATGACTCTCTGACGCTACAATCATCATAAATATGAACCAGTTGCCAAACATCTGAATTTTGATCACATGATCATAGGAATGCTGCAACAGTTGTAAGTGTGAAAAATGGTCATAAGTCATCCCAAAGATGCTTTTTCATGAGGCAACTGGATTTTCTTGTTTTTCTTTAAAGACGTTTCACTTCTCATCCAAGAAGCTTCTTCAGCTCTGGATGGTGGAGAATGGAAGGATTTATACTCCTTGCAGACAGCTGACAAGAAGTATAAATCCTTCCATTCCTCACCATCCAGTAGGAGTTGAAGAAGCTTCTTGGATGAGAAGTGAAACATCTTCAAAGAAAAACAAAGCCCAGTTGCCTCGTGAAAAAGCACCTTTGGGATGGCTTATGACCTGGATGACTGAGAATCTCCCTAGACATTGGTCATAAGTCAGTTTTTCAGTGCCATTGTAACTTCGAACAGTCACTAAATGAACTATTATAAGTCAAGGACTACCTGTACTTCAAATTAAATAAGATAAATGTGAGTTAAAATACTTCAAGGCTCATTGAGTTGTGTTACTGTATCCTGAGCATGTGTCAGTGTATTTCATATATGTCCTAGTTTTGGAGTGAAGTCAACAGTAAGCGAGTGTGCAAGAATATTCTTTTGATTAGAGATCCTAATTTGCATAGAACATAGCAGGATCATGCATGTGATTATACTAGATTTGCCCCAAATTTTCCGGAATTTCCTGATATTATCCTTCCTATTTGCAGGAGATACTGATACAACTAAAGCTGGTATCCTAGTTTGTATATTCCCTATATTAACTGTAAAGTATTATGCGAAGGCCTTGATTTACTAAGTTATGATGAGCAGCAGAAATATCTTGGGACCAAGAGGTAATGCCGCATCATATAGAAGACTACAGTTTGTAAGAGGAATAAAAGGCCAGCATGAATTTTAAAAGAACCTGAATTAATAAAGGAAGGCTGTGAAATTAAGAAAAAGGAGAAGACAAGTAATACATCTGAATGAAGGTAGTCTGTTTATGGGCAGAGGAGCTGATGAATATATACAAGGGAGTGAAGATAAAAAGTGAACTATGAATTATGAATAAAATGTATATCAGAAAATATGAATTGTGTCATCTAAGCTGTATGTATGAAAGTCAGAATCTGTAGTTCGGTTATACAGCATAGTTCAATGAATGGCAATAATGGAAGAACTGAGAAGAATTGTATAACATTCTGAATTAAAATAATCTAGTGCTCATTTGTTACATGTCATAACAGGATGAGTGGAAACAAGATGAGACAGCCCAGAAAGTGCTTGTGCCATTCATACCTAACAATGAATGTGAACGATGATTAGTGATTATGTCCAATAACGACAAATAGATAAATATACATTTAAAAGCATTTGATTATGATAAAAGGTTGAATGACTAATAACAAGGGAGAGAAAATCTTTTGAATGTTAGATAGATCATTTCTTCATAGTGTCAAGATTGGCTCTTGGAAAAAATGACAGAAGAAATGTAAAAAAAAAAAAAAGCGGAAATAGGATTACTACTAGATAAAAAGTATTAAAAGCTAGATTAACCTACCGTCAGAATGAATGAAAAGTGTATGTATCAAAAGGGAACATGTCAACAGATTGGAACAGAGTTAAAGAATTATGGTTCATGTTGCCATAGAACTATGTGAAGTTTATGTTAATGGAAAATATGAAAAAGTTTCCTTGTTTAAACAGACTAATGGTTAGCAAAATCCAGAAGAAAATAAATATTACAAAAAAATGAAGATGAGATAAAAATATAAGATGTCAAGACAAAAAAGATTGATGAAAAAAATGATTTGAGAGTCAGAATAATGCAGAATAATTTTGATGCAAGTAAAACATTGTTTCGGAAGAGGGCTAAACAAATCCTTTAGCAGACTGAATGGAATAAAAAATGAAAGTGATAGAATAATTTGAGATGGAACAGGTATGAGAGAATGCTGAAGAAAGTATTTTAGAGAACTATCTGAGAATAGTCAACATGAAATGAATGCAATAAACAATGCTCTAGAAAAAATGATGAAAATGAAATCATAAATAGGCGAGGTTCAAAATGATAAGGTTGCAGGTATAGATTATGTAACTGGAGAAATAATGATGTAGATTGATTATGGAATGACGGTGATTTATTTAATGTGTGCATGAAGATAGCATTGGAGCTTAATTATTGCAAAATGCTGATAATGTTACCCCCCCCCCCCCCCCGTCGAAGGAAAGTGTGCCAAAACTATAGGGAAATTATTTGCTGAGTGTGCCTCAAAAATGTTTGGCAGAATTGTGATTGTAATCTTCTATACATTTTCACTAAACAAAATGTAGGAAGTATATAGCCTTATATCAGCCAGGGACTGTACAGGCCAGATTCTTGCTGTTTACATCATGTCACTGAGAAATATATATGTGAGAAAGACAGTTTATTTTTCATTATTTTAGTGAAAATACTTCTAAAATGAATGGGTTGAATTATGGAATGCATAGCATGAGTGTATACAGTTGAAAATTGGTTGCTGAAAGCATTGTGTGGTATATAATGGAAGCCAAGCAATAAATAAATGAATAAATTAAATACTAAATAATTAATAATTGTTCTAATCAATTGTCTCAGAATACTGGAAGAAAAAGTCCATCAATATGCAAACTGAACACTGGAGCAAATTCCACATGATGGGATCTTCTCTGTGATTGATTTAGACTAAAAAACATAGAATGTGTAAAAAAAATACAAATTTCATTGAGAGAAAGTATTTTAAAAAGTAAATCCTACAATAAATTTGCATTTTGACCAAGATGTGGCAAATACAAGTTTTGATTTCTTTTAATCATACAAATTGCTGGAAGATAGACTGTCGTGAGCATATCTATTAGGTTAGTGGATATTATGCTAACTATAATTTTAATAATAAAAAAACAAGATAAATTTTTTATAAATGTTAATACTAATGTTTTAAAATAAAGCATTTCTGATAATATATTTATATCTTGATAAAGAATAGGTAACTTTCTTTGCAAACCTAACTGAAAACAAAGTGTAGGTGACGGCAAAAATTGTTTGCATGTATAATGTATAAAGTGTTCCTTAAATCAAACTCAATTTCTGGTGACTCTTCAGACATATCCATACTGTTTTCTTGACCATAGTATAGAAGTAGCTTCTGGAATGTTTTTCAACTTTCTGGTCTTGTCTATAGCCCTGGGATTTTCTTGTGGTCTACCAAATACTAACCAAGAACACAACCCTGTTTACATCTTTCATAGTTGGAGAAGGTCAGTTAGGTGCTGCTACCTGCTGTGAGCAAATTTACACTATTGTTCTTACGTGCATGTGAACCTTCAAATCAGCCTTGACTCCTGGAGACTACCTGGACTAGTCC